TAGCTAATTATACGGCATGAGATTTTTTAGTTGTTAAAGGACCAATAATGACCTGTATATGATCACATCCTTGTCATTTCTCCTAAATTTTGTGAATAGTTGTCTCATTGGCAATCATACCACATCTCTTTAATTTTATAAAGATTATATCAAACGAATCTGCACGAAATCCACGCAGCTAAACCAGTTGTATCAACATATATTGGCATGTGTTGATGATCTGTCTCAAGTCACACCCAGTAGTACGTGACAACACGAAAAGAACAAAAGTAAAAATGTCTTATTGGCATAAAGGACATACGATAAGTGTGACAGAGTTTCAATGTGATATTGAAATAGCGGACAAGTTGTATGTGTGGCAAAGTTTTAATGTCATATTGGCATACTGGACAAATGGTGCAATGTATGTATGACAGTGTAACAATGTCATATTGATATATAGGACATCTGGTATGTTTGCAAGATTTACAATGTCACATTGACATAGTGGACATGTGGTATGCATGATAGAGTTACAATGTCATATTGACATAATGCACATGTGTTATCATGGTACTGGTTTCAGAGCTATAATGTCATAATGTCATAGTGGATATGTGGTATGTATGACATAGTTACAATGTCGAATTGACAGATCTAAGTGGACGTGTGGTATATGTGATAGGGTTGTAATGTCATATTGACATATTAAACATGTTGTTTATGTGACAGAGTTATAATGTCATATTGCCATAGTACACATGTATGACAGAGTTAAATGTCCTTTTGAAATAGATGACATGTGGTTTGTATGTTAGGGTTACGATGTCATATTAACACAGTTGACATGTGATATGTATGTCATGGATCTGCTGTCATATTGACATAGTGAACATAGTGAACATTATGTATGCGTGACAGAGTAATAATTTCATATTGACATAGAGGACATGTGGTATGCATTACAGTGTAACAATGTAATATTGACATAGTGGACATGTTTTGCTGTTACACCACTGTCTCAGGTTAGGGGAGGTTTGAGCGCTCACAAACATGTTTAACCCCGCCACATCCTTTTTATGTGCCTGTTTCAAGTCAGGAGCCTTGTAGTTCAGTGGTTATCGTTGGTTCATGTCTGTCATATTTTTTTTTGTTAATTGTTTTGTTTTAAGTAGTTAAAAATCAAATAATCTGTGTATAAAAGTAAAAAGCTCTTATTTTGTTCAGAAGTAGGTAAAAATTAAAGAACAAACGACAACTACTGAACATCAGATTCCTGACTTAGGACAGGTGCAAACAATTGCAGCGGGTTTAAACGTTTTAATGGTGCCAAACCTCACCCTTATCTGAAACAGTAGTGTAACATCACAACATAAAAAGACACACTATAAAATATCAATTGAAATGGCTTAACTCAATCAAAAGACATATTAACACCAGTGAACATACACTGAACAAATAAATATGATCTATGATACAATGCAAATAGAAAATAAATAAACTAAGGGAAGAATAATTAAAGTAACATGTTATACCGCTGTGAAATGTTAAATGTATGTATAACATAGTAATAATCTCATATTGACAAAATGGACATATGGTATCATGGCAGAATTAAAATTTCATATTGACATAGTGAAAATGTGATATGTATGACTGAGTAAAAATTTCATATTGACATAGTGGACTGTTGGTATATGTGATAGGGTTGCGATGTCATGTAGACATAGTGAACATGTTGTATATCTTACTGATTTAATTTCATATTGTCATAGTGGACATGTGGTAAGTATGACAGAGTTACAATATTACATAGACATAGTCGACATGTGGTATGTATGACAGAGTTAAAATGTCATATTGACAGAGTGGACATGTGATATGTGTGACAGAGTTATAATGTTATATTGACATAGTGGACATGTAGTAAACATGTATGTATGTATGACAGAGTCACAATATTACATAGACATAATGGACATGTGGTACGTATGACAGAGTAACAATGTCATATTGACATAGTGGACATTAAGTACACATGTATGCATAACATAGTTACAATGTCATATTGACAAAATGGACATGTGGTATCATTGCAGAATAAACATTTCATATTGATATAGGGGACATTTATAATTAGTATGTATGACAGAGTAACAGTATAATAATGACATAGATGACATAGTTGACATGAGGTTTGTATTTCATGATTTCGATTGTCATATTAACATAGTTGACATGTGATCAATATGACATATTTACGCTTTTATATTGACAGAGTGAATGTATTGTATATGTGACAGCGTAATAATGTCATATTGAAATAGTGGACATGTGGTATGTTTGACAGAGTTACAATGTTATATTGACATAGATGACATGTGATATGTTTGATAGAGTAACAATGGCATATTGACATAGAGGACATGTGGTATGTAGGACAGTGTAACAATGTCATATAGATATAGAGGAAATGTGGTATGTGTGACAAAATAACAATGTCATTTTAACATAGAGGACGTGTGGTATGTATGACAGAGTTATAATGTCATATTGACATAGTGAACATGTGGTATCTATGACAGAGTTATATTGTCATATTGATAGAGTGGACATGTGGCATGTATGGCAGAGTAAAAATTTCATATTGAAAAAATGAACATATGGTATATATGACAAAGTAACAATGTCATATTGACATAGCGGACATGTGGCATGGATGGCAGAGTTAAAATGTCATATTGACATAGTGAACATGTTGTTTGTTTGACAGAGTGGCAATGTCATATTGAAAAAGTGGACATGTGGTATGTATGGCAGAGATACAATGTCATAATGACATAGATGACATGTGGTTTGTATGTCATGGATACGATGTCATATTAACATAGTTGACATGTGATAAGTATGTTATGGTTACGCTGTTATATTGATATAGTGAACATGTATGTGTGATAGAGTTATAATGTCATACTGACATAATGAACATATGGTATGTTTGACAAATTAACAATGTTATATTGACATCGAGGACATGTTGTATATATGCCAGTCAGTGTTACGAGGTCATATTGACATTGTGAACATGTGATATGTTTGATAGAGTAACAATGTCATATTGACATAGATGATATGTGGAATGTATGACAGTGTTACAATGTCATATTGACATAGAGGAAGTGTGATATGTGTGACAAAGTAACAATGTCCTATTAACATAGAGGAGACAGAGTTAAAATGTCATATTGACACAGTGAACATGTGGTATGTATGACAGAGTGACAATGTGTGAAAATATTACACGATTGTCTGAACAATACATGTATAGTTCTTGACCTTAGAGAAGAAATTTTATGAATTGTTCAGTTTTTACCATTTATGAAACCGTTTATAACATGCGTATTGACATAGAGGACATGTGGTATGTATGAAAGACAGAACCGCAATATCATATTGACATAGTGGACATGTGGCATGTGTGTCAGAGTAACAATGCCATATTGACATAGTGACATGTGAAATAAACATACAATGTCACCAGTGAGATAAGAGACAATATACAGATCATGAAAATCACGATGAATTTTGAATCTTATGATGTGTTAATTTCAGTCCTTCTTCCATGCTTTATATCTGATTTCTTTTCATTAGCATACCTTTTGTACAGTTACTGTTAGAAGTTATCTGTACAATAATCATTTTGATTGACATAAATAAATTGACCAATCCGAATATAAATAAACAAACACATTGCTAAGATTTAAACTCCATCAGACAAAGTTATTTTTTTACTGATTAAACATATTCGCCTTCCTGTTGCATTCCCTTTGTACTCCAAAACGTTTAATAATTTGAAATATGTGAATGAAAGTCTAGCTAAGGCCGATTGGTCACACTTGTTTTGACCTTATATTTGCCTTGTAAGAAATATTTCAAGAACTCTAAAAACATTCTTTTCTTAATGAAAGAAGAAATCGACCAAAAGTATGATTCGGAAACCTTTAGAGGATTAATTTTGAACTTCTTACACAATATTTTTTTAAAAGATACATAGACAATTATCAGTTTAGAAGCAAACTGTGAGAGTTGATGTATTTTGCAACGTAAATGATGGGCAATAACCTGAGTTTAAATCGTAAAATAATTAGAAAAACGTACATTAGACTGATAATGGGAATTTTGAAACTTTTGACATGAAATATGTATGATAAAAGAGGCACTTGTTTAAAGAATTTTCCCCTTAAGATATTTATCGGTGAGGGATATTTCTTTATAGCTTATCATTTTTGCAGGTCAAGTAGATGGTTTTAGCCATCAAAGACACTGTTGATCGGATTTAGATCATTCCCACAATTGACTAGCAAAACGGTTCCCAAAACGTAGTTTGTAAGTGAACTGTATCTGTTTTAAGTCAGAAACTTCATCAGTGGTTATCCTTAGTAACATGTAACATGTTTTGTTCGAATGGAAATTTGATTAAGATATTAGATCTTTGATAGGCATGGTTAAATTCATTCATACATCGTTAAATCCTTTATGTCTTTATGAATTTTGAAGTGTTGTTGGGTAGATGTTTAGTAGTATTTATAAGTTTATATTCAAATCGTTTTAAAGGCATATATTTTCTTAAATCTTCTTTATTTCGCACACAATATGCGGGAATTTGAGTCAATTTTGGCTAATTTTTCAATACAGGTTTTTAAGATATTAATGTTTCAGTAAATAATTCAAGTTACATAGCATCACCGTTACAATGATACAGCATTATTCTCATAAACTATAATAACATTCTTATGAAATTAGATAAAATACCCATGACGAAAGTATAACAAAACCAGGTCCAATCCTGTAAAAGGAAATTCAAGCCAAATCAATTTATCTTAATCATGTATTGATGCATTGACATTACATGTAGAACAGCAATTTAATTCCAGGATTTTCGTGTTCAGTTCTTTTAGAGCCATTAAAACATAGTGGGGGAAGACTGTTACATAATTAAATAAAAATCATTTCTGTAAATGTCAAGTGTCCTTCAAGTTTATTTAAGCACAAACTTAAATAACAATGTGTACATTAGTAGTAAAGGAACCATACTGAATATCAAGTTTGAATGTTATATTTCTTCATACATACATAAACATTAAGCTTTTATTTAGTTTATCAAATACTGAGCTAACATCCTGTCTGTAATCTGTTAGATCCCTTGTGACTTATCTGACTAATTAACAATTCCATACAGATTTATATATCATCATTATTTATTGTTATTTATAAGTACTTGGCTGTTATAAATGATATTTCATTGTTTTTGTCTGCCATTCATGGTAAACAGAAACTTGTAAGAAAATAAACTCGCACCTCAGTGATATCAGAATATTTGAAAAGCACCTCAAAAGGGGAGAGGCAAATTGACACAAACATCAAAATCTGTTTCAACTGATTATTTGCTCTTAGTGTTTTTTATAAGCAGTTCAAAATAAAATTGAACATACATGCTGGAAACAAATGAGGTGTCTTTGTGATTGGGGTAGTTATTTGAACATAACACAATTCTACTGTTTTCCTTTTGCACTATAGTGGCGATTTGTTTTTTATCGAAAAGGTTTATACTTGTAAACAGCAGTTGTTGTAAAAGTTTCACACGGTTAATCATAATCGTTAAATTTACATGATAGATCAATCTATTGGTCTGTGTAAACGTAAAGATTAATTACTTTTTCTCCTAAAACGAAAATGATAGGTAAAGGTTTTGTCGTAATTTTCTGAATCTGCTTCAGTTTTCTCCATGGATAGTCCCTTTTTCATTGCGGTTTTAAGAACATACATCACTTTTCTCCGATATAATGATCAGTCTCTTTTTCACCGAGATTTTTCGGAACCTGCATCACTTTTCTCCAATATAATTGTGAGTTCAGTTGTTCCTGCGTCAGACAGTCTGTCTTCATCATCTACATCGGGACATACACAGCACGAAACTTTTTTACATAATACTTCTTTAAAGACTCGCCTAAAATTTTTACCACATATATAGTATACCAGAAAATTAACCGAAGAGTTCAAGTAATACATTACTTGGAATACATTCCCAATGGTAAGATCTGTAAGACTCGCCACCTTGTACTTTCCAGAAACCGTTTCGATTATTACTTTCAATTTAAAGATATGAATAGGAGTGTGAAGAAATATAAACGTAATTGACACGGCAGTTAGTAGTCCTGCAACTGTTCCATATGATGGCACTAATCTGTTTTTACTTCTATGATGACCAAGGCGTAGTTTTCTTTTGGACGCTTCCATACCCTTCAATAGTATCATAACCATTAATACTACCATTGCTACTAACGGTATAATAAGTGTCATGGCTGTATCTATGTATGTTAAAACTAGTTGAAGGTCTTGATATGTCCTCTTTGTGACGCAATAATTCAAATCGTAAATATCAACTATCTCATTACTCCACAAGGGAATATTATAAATGCACAACGATGCAAACGTTAGAAAAGAAATGATCATAACAGCTGTTCTCGATGTACAATAAAGTTTTATCGACATAGGATGACAAATTCGTACATAGTTTTCAACAGTCACACACACCACACACCAAACCGATAAAAAACTACAAACATACGACAAAAATACTGTTATATGACATACTCCCACAGTGTGAAATACACGAACATCTAGAAAATCCAGCCATACAATTAGTAATGTTATCAGAAACCCGTTGTCGGTGATGGATCGGACTCCTAAGAAAATACAACACGAAAATCCTCGTAACGTTTTCCCTAAAAATAAGGCAGCAGACAGGCTATTTCCCATAAACCCTATGGCACATAACACTGGTAAGGAATATTTCCGTAAGAAATAATCTGGACTGTCAGTCGGTGCTACGTATAATTTATCTACTTCCGGTGTTGTGTTAAATGTTGTCTCGTTATCAGTTTGAGATATAGATGATGCATGCATTGTTAGTATTTGTAGCAATGGACTTATGGACACATTATTGACCGAATTATCAGAACGTTTATTCATATCCAAACGCTATAAAATCTTTACTGACTTCTTTTTATCTGAAACTGAAAATAAAACAGATGTATGTTACTTGAGATAGTTACAGACCTTCCTTTATTTTGTTGGCTTCAATGAAATATTTTCTATAATAAAATGAAAGTACACCAAGACAACTTATACGGTTTCATTAATGGTAAACACTCAACAATTTATAAACAGTTTTCTTTACGACAAGAGTTATGATGATTCAGGCAATCGTGTAAGGTTTTCAAATTTTAACCTAATTTAAAAGATCACTATCCTGTCAACTCTTAGGTTGCGAGTTCTTATCCCTCTCGTGGCGAGGTGTGTTGGATCTTAATTGTCAAGAATAACCATTTTCCTTCTCAAGTGTTCGGTGGTTCTCTTGGAGAACCCTTCTCCCATCACCAATAAATCCTGCCCACCTGAAAGTGGCGTTAATGCCTAACTAACAAGCAAACAAAACCTGGTTTGATATCTATTTATATTTGATATATTTTGGCTCATTGTTGAAAACGTTCTTAAACGCATGTTATGTACAACAAATTACATTCTATATAAAAGCAATGACACTAGAGAGAAGTGCATTGTTAATTGTTCGTCAGCATTTGAACCAAAGTAAGATGAATTTTTGAAGTCTGCATTTCGCATATGGTGCTGCAAACAGTATTTTGAAATTGTATTAGAATATGTCTAACCAACATTTGTTAATGCATGTAAATACTTATTTATCTCATTTATAAACAAAACATAATAACCATTTGGACAATAGAAGTTTTCCATTTTCATTGAATTAGGCTTTCCTAATCAGGTAAAGCAAGTCTACATTGAGCATCATAAATTATCAATTTCTTTATGAACAACTGCAAAACAAATCTTAATAATAGAAATTGCGATATGATTTAAGGTGTCTGTTTTTAAATTTCAAATAATGCGACATAACGGCTAGTACGGATCGATACTATTATAGATAGGTTCAGTAATAAGATGGTCTTTGAATTCCTTCTGTCGACGTCAATATCATAAAGAAACGACATTTGAAATTTACACTGAAAAAAGAAGAACTAGATCTTTCTTCTCTCTACTGGATACCACAATATAATCAGACTTCTCAGAAACGCTGTTATATTGTTTTGTATGTCAAATGGGCCTTGAAACCTCTTTACATTTGCTTACTTCTATTTTGTAGGTAAAAAACCAGATGAGCATACTTAAAGCTGTACCCATCAGTTATAAAAGAGATGCGGATGATACCAAAGAGATATTCAGACTTATAAGTCGACAAATTGACAACGCCATGTCAAAATACTAAAATGACCGAAAGACTAACAACTGTCACAGATAACAAAACACAACATAGAAAACTCAAGATTGATCAACACGAATCCCACCAAATCCAGGGAGATCTCAGGTGCTCTAGAAGGGTAAACATAACATTTATAACATAGTTTGTTCTTTCTTAACTTCCCATTGACCTTACTATTCTTTATACTAGGTTTCTATTGGTCATTTTGGGGTTTGAGCTTTCCTTATGAAGATATATTCGGAAAAGCGCTTCGGACGCACGTAATTATAAAGTGTTATTTTCATTTAGAATACTTTAATGTCGTCTCCCTCGTCCTACACTAGAATAAAACATTTTAATTCTCTACCATTTAAATAAGGACCATGTATTAAACTCAAAGATATGTTACAAAAATTCGCCCAACTTAGTTTCATAAATGGAATGATCAAAATTGATACGAATATAGAAGATTTTAGCTATTTGTCTTGTTAGGAATTACTATTGTTTAAAAAATACTTATTCTAATCTCTCTTACGTAACTTAACGCGCATGATCCTGTTATTCTTTTTTATTTTAAGATTTTGAACTTTTGTGAAATATTGCGTATTCCATAGTATATCAAGTGACTTTTTCATCAATTACCTGTTATCCTATTTATGAATATATGTAAGATAAAACATCGTAATACAATCTCTGCTTTCTTATTGTTAACACATGATGCATGTGTTGTTAAGTTGTAACAATTCAGATCACTGAAATTAGGCCCCTAAAACTAAAGCAGATACATTTTATTGTATTATTAAAGAACAACAATTACACTTACCAATAACTATTTCTTCATTTTATCCAATTTAGTATTTGATGCAAATGTTGCTACCATTAATTACCAATATGTTAGGTATATTCATCTTTAATCTAAACCTTTTGCATGTAAGTATTAACACACACACATAAAAAAAACTTAATATTAACACAATGTATCTCCAGTCATGTATTCCTATAAGCAACTAATTACATTGTCCTCCAACGTTTTGTTACTCTTAAAGTCAGATAATCAGTGATGTCTGCAGAAGAGTCAGTGGAATTTTATACTGTATGTAAATTCAATGCGTGAACGTTAGTATTGAACGTCGATTTCAATCACATTACGGTAGACAATTGATTCACTTCTCTATTTCAATTTATAGAACATGCATTTATCTTCATTGTGAAAAGAAATTAAATATAAATGTATAATTCTGCTGTATCATCTGCTTAGAAAAGAACTTCATTCTTATTTTCAAAAATATTTTAATTATTCATATTTATATATATATGCACATTATATCTGTAGAATTAAAAGAGCGTATTGGGTGGGATATAATCGTTTTCATCTTTATTATCTATCAAAGTTTCTTTCTAGTAATAAAAAGTGGAACATTATACATTGTTTTGTTATTACACGGAGAAACGTTCATTCATGACGGTGAGGTACATGAACTATCACATCGATTCAAATAGACGAGGCAACCCTGTTGATTGAACTTCAATGTTTTTTTTTTTTAAATACTCAACAAATCCAGGACATACAGACTGTGAGACCATAATAGTCTAGTCAATTTAGTGAACAACCTGCAACTAATTGCAACACAAAGTTTTTCTCTGAAAAACAAGTCTGTTACTATCTATGAACAACATTCTAAAACTATACAAATATATATTTTGCGGAAAGTGGTGTAATTCATAAAAATGTTTTGTAGTTAAAGTAAGGTTATATGAGTTGCTTCCCCTTATTTGCCAAATTTGAAAAAAATAAAATTATACAAAAAATGTGCTGTATTTTTTAAAGCAATTGTTATAATACAATACAAATTGAATACATAATTATTTCAATTTAAAAGAATAATATTACAAATGAATCACTTTCCTGTCTCAAAATTTGTATATTTGAATAAAGATATAGACCGAGATTGTGTTCTGCTATTTTACAATCCAAGAATCTAATTCTCAAAAATAGTGTTGGTAAGTTACCTATAAATGGAAAACTGTACTGAATTAGAGTAACCAACTTAGTCACATTCTTACTTGGTATTTGAAAGAATTCTGCCCCTGTGTTAAGGGCACAGACAGTTTATTTTTTGTTGGGGGAGGGGTTCCAGAAACACATGTTTTGTTCTTTATAAAAAAATGTTATTGCAAGATTCAAAGTCTTTAATGTATATTTTTTTTCTTCACAACTTTAGAAAGAAAACAATATATATTTTTTTCATTTACCTTCTGGAACAAACATGTTAAGATTTAGAATCCAACAGTGTTTCATAAAAAAATAAGAATGACGAGTGTTAAATGATTTTATGTTAAATATTTTTTCACAAACGAAAATTCCAGGCTCCTCGAAGCAAATAGCTACTCATGTAATTTGCGACGATCTCAGTACTCACACACCATATAAATTAAGCTTTGACTGTAACACTGAATCCACTTTTCACTTTGGTTAGTAATCGGATGTGTACTTATTGATATTTTAGTCGGTGCCAACAGTATTTATTCATCAACTGTAATTACTAAGCTTTGAACTAGCTATGAGAACTCAGTGTCTTTTTGTTAATTGGTTATATACTCCGTGCTGATCTTTTCGAGTTGAGCCCTTTCCAACTGGGTTTTACAATTTGTTCTTACGTTGTTTGCTATTTAAATAAAATTGAGAATGGAAATGGGGAATACTGTATGTCAAAGAGACAACAACCCGACCAGATCAAGAGCAGATAACAGCCGAAGGCCACCAATTGGTCTTCAACGCAACGGGAAAATCCCGCACCAGGAGGTGGTCCTCAGCCGGCCCCTTAATAAAAACTGTTCCTGATTATTGGAGGGTTGGGTGCTCGCAAACAGGGTTAACCCTGCACACTATGAATATGATTATCACAAGTCAGTGGCCCTTTATTACTTGGTTGTTATTGTTTGCTGTCTGTCATATTTGTTTTTCCGTTTATTGTTTAACATTAATCAGGCCTTTGAGTTTCTCGTTTGACTTGTTTTATATTTTGACGATGAACTATAGTTGTTTACATCCACACCCACATTATTGATATCTCTTGTGGAAAGTTTTCTCATTGGCAATCATACATCTTCTTATGTTTTTAAAGTGGGGAGATTTTATAACAAGTGATGGTTTCATTGGCAAGCGATCAAACTTACTACCAAGAGATCACTGATAGAGTTTAGTGGACCTTAAAAGCTAAACATTTATATTCTTTTGGCATGAGGTGTATTTTTTAAAATATTTTTATAGTTTCGTTCAAATAAGTTGAAAACAGGTCAGCATTCCGGAAGCAGAAAACAGCGTCTTTAATATTGACATATCTGTAATAGAGTATGTTTATGAATAAAGTGAGATTTGAGGTTTTTAAAGTCAACGAGAAAGCAACACAAACGACTAACAAAAACCAACAGACATACTTTCAGATTAGACATGACTATCTAAACGCTATCTCTGGCCATAAAAGTCGGCCACAGACACTACCAATTTTAATTCATACACAGATGATGCATGATCATTTTTTTACAGTTCTTAGGCTAAAGCTGATTACCTTTTATTCAAGTAATTCAATGAGATATATTAAATAAAGAACTTGGTAATGCTTTTCTTTATATACTAGTAAGTATATATATATATATCTTTGACCATAATATTTTCATATAGCAGACAACCCATGTTAGTTCTTTGTCATTACCATTTGGTTGATGTTTCAGACCACCACATACATGCAGGTTTATAGGGTACACACATAAGGCGCTGTTGCTATTAACACTTCCTCCAGGTAGTGATCCCATTAATTCATTTAACAGTGCTTATCTCATTTTCAACATCCAAAATTGGACCACTTTAGTACAATTACTATTTAGATTCAAGCTTTGAGGTAAACTTATAATCGTATTGACAAAGCTGATCTTGAAATTGCCTGAACCAATATCAGATCTACATTTAATTTTCGATCTATGAGTTTGACTGTCCCTCTAGTTATCTTTTGCCCCTCTTTTAATGCTAACTCAGTGAACTAGTATATGTTCCTAAATTTAAAAAGCTTATATATCTGAAATTAAACGTGGATATTGATAGAGCTTGCTAAATAAAAATAGCAACACATTAAGAGAAATCTGCAATCACATCGTCTGTGTTTAACTGTGACTTTATGCAATTCAAATATTGTAAAAGTAGCTAATGAAAGAATACACAAAAAGGACTACAGTCAATGACGATGCAAGGACACTAGAAAAATGACTTTTCCAGCAATTAACATGACAAAATCAAAGTCAGTAACCAAACTGATTTACAGTTATTTTTTAACACAATCATTTTTGTTTATTATACTTACACGTATAATTACTATAAATACATAACCGAAAAATAAGATAAAATTTCAAAATTCCACAAAATGCACATATTTAAAACTGAGTTTTACTGTGTGTTTGTTTATTCTATATTGTCTAGAGAAACTAGGGGAGGGTTGAGTTCTCACACAACATGATTTAACCCTGCCACATTATTGCACCTATCCCAAGTCAGAAACCTCTAGCCTTTGTTTGTCTTGTGTGTTTTTTTTTTGTGTGATAATTTTGGTTCATTTGTATGTACTGGAGTTTAGGGTGGTGTCCATTTTGCTGAACTGGTGTACAAAATAATTAAGGGGTCAGGTGAAGCCCACCTCCGTGTGCCGGATTTACTTGCTATGTTAAAGACCCATTAGTGGCCTTGTTTTCTCTTTGACACATTCCATGTTTCCATCCTCCATTTTTTCGTTTTTAAAAATCAAACTAGAAATAACCAAGATTTTAAATTTTTTATTTTATATGCCCCTCACTTAGGGGCATTATGTTTTTCTGTCTGTGCGTCTGTTCGTTCGTCTGTCTGTCCTGCTTCAGATTAAAGTTTTTTGTTAAAGTTTTTGGTCAAGGTATTTTTTGATGAAGTTGAAGTCCAATCATATTGAATCTTAGTACAAATGTTCCCTATGATAAGATCTTTCTAATTTTAATGCCAAATTAGAGTTTTGACCCAATTTCACTGTCCACTGAACATAGAAAATGATAGTGCGGGTGGGGCATCCGTGTACTATGGATACATTCTTTTTTTTTGTAGTTAGTGTGCAAAACAAAATATTTCATACAACAAATTGATTATTATTGATATCGATAACAAGAGGAATACATATGCGATAAACATAAGATAATATAGTCTGTCTATAAAGATCCTATGTTAAAAGTTTTAACCATGAATAATCGAGTTTTTTATTTTCATTTTTCACAATTTTTCTCTACAAATCACATTTTACACGTGTTTTTTTCATGAATAATCTATGCAAAATTGGGCAATTTTGGAAGACTTGTAGCTTGAAAAATAGCATACTTTTGATTATATTTTTAAAACAAATATGGCAAAATCTCCATTTTGCAAAGTATAAGAAAATTCTATCTGAGGAAATACATAGTGATGATCCACCTCAACAGGAAAAAGATATTTTGAGTCATGATAGTCATTTCACTCAAACTAGAAACAGGTATCAAAACACCCCCTTTTTAAAATATTAACTTTGACGGAATAAAATGTGATATTATGATCATGATTAATGTATGGATTAAATGTTTGGTACTCATGCTTTAAGCTTGAAAAAAGACAAAATTGTTCACTACCATTTTTTTTTAAAGTTCTATTTTTTTTTACAAATTGCAATGTTTCTAATCGAAAAGATAAGGTTCTTAAAACTTACTTCTTTCAAACTGCGACTTTTCTTTTCAATAGTGTTTAAATGTAGCTGTGTTTTGGTTTTCAGTTATAAGAAATGATGGAGTTAATTCATCTTTTTCTTAACTAACAATTATTATGCATTTTGATCGCTTTTTATTCCTTGGATCAACGAACGCTGAGAACAGTACTTTTATTAGATCTCGTCGTACAATAAGATGTCTATTTAAAGTCTGAAACCTCGCAAGTCCCCCAGTCTGTTTAAACGTATGTATCGTTTTTCCTTCAGACGTATTGATTACACGTCTTTGTTAGTCTGCTTTATTTAGGTTAGATAGGATGCAATCCCCCTATGTCTGGAATTTAGTTGGATTTAAAGCATGAA